CCCAGCCAGAGCCAATGTTCTCAGTGCCATGGGCCAGGCCTTCAGCCTCGGCATGCCAGGCAGGCAAGGTGCCAGAACCAATTTCCTTCCACCACCAATGGATGAGAAGACTGTTCTTAAGAGGTGTTCAAATCCAGTTTCATGTCCTGTTTCACTTACTTAAGTCTGGAAGCTTAAAGAGGTTTAATAACTTGCCCAAGATCACATAGCTAATCAGTAGGCCAGGATTCAATGCTATCTTACTGCTGTAACAATTTAATAACAAAAGCGGGAGATTTGTCAAATCTGTTAGAGTCAAACTTCAGGGCAGGGTTGGCCACTGAGTTTGTGCAGTCAAACATTTCATTGTGATTGTCACCAACTGACTAGACTTGAGATCAGAGGCATGCCCTCTTGTTTGTAAACCTGGGTAAATTATTTGACCTTCCAGTGTTTGCACTAGAGTCTAGCAGTTCTCACCTGCATGTGTGCATTAGAATAGTCTGTGGCCTTGCTGTAAATAGTAATAGACAGCTCCCTCCTAGACCCACAGAGACCAAATCTCCAGGGGAGGCCATGTGCTGAGTCTCTGAAAATATGGACTCTGGACTCAGAGACTGCCTGGGTTTGAACCCAAACTTCATCTCTTATTCCCCTCAACACGTATTTGTAGAGCACCTACTGTGAGCAAGGTGCTGTGCTGGGTCCAGTGGTAAGCAATTAATAAGACATAGACCATAACCTCAGAGAGTTTATAAGGTCTGCCTGCATTCCCTGGGCGTTCTTAGAAAGTGGAGCACAAAGTGGAGCACTAATAATAGCAGCTGTTCTTTTATGAAAACATCATTAAGGCACTGTGCTAAGCAATTTTATTATAATTCTTGAAATGGCAAGAATGGTAGGAATTATTATTATTGTTCCCATTTTAAATATGAGAACTGGAGACTTATAGAGGTTAATAACTTGCCCAAGGTCACATAGCTTATAAGTAGCCAGGATTCAAACCCAGGTCTGCCTGACTTTGGAGTCCGAGCTGAGCTGCTGAGTACTTCATTACTCCATCCTGCCGAGGAAAACCTACACAGCTATTGTTCTGCTTAGTGAGTTTACTGTTTTAGTGGTTTTCTGCATGTGATAAGTTTACAGCTGGTAAAACTAGACAGAAGTTGAAAAAACAAGACTTTTTTCACTCCTAGTTCTCAGGGGCTAGTGAAATTTGCAAATAATAATATTCTTGAAGGTAATTGGCCAGTGATAATCTTTAAAAACTAAAAATCAGAAAAATAAATTATTTAAATTATAGGATGGGCAATGTGTCCTTAAATTCCTTCTTTTCTGTTGGGGAGAAAAAAGAGAAATAAAAGACTTATTTTCCTATTGGTCACCCTATTTTCCCCAAATATCAAATGAATATATACAGTTATAAAATATAAAGAAA